TTGCTCTTTTTTTTTGTTTGACGTTTTTTAAAATTTCAAACTCTATAAGTTTGAGAATTTAGATTTTTGGATATTTCTATATTTCTATTTTTCTATATTTCTATATTTCTATATTTCTATATTTCTATATTTCTATATTTCTATATTCACATATTCCTACATTTCTAAATTACCAAATTTTGGAATTAATGAATTTCCAAATCACTGAACTACTAAATTACCAAATTACCAATATTCTAAGCTTCCAAGTTTCTAATTGCTTTTTCTGAATTTATAAATTTTCAATCAACCAAATTTTTCAATTACTAAATTCCCATATTTCTAAACTGAATTAGTAAATTTTTAAGTTTTTAAACGAGAAAATTTCTAAATTAATAAATTCATAAATTTCCAAATTATTAATGCTCCAAATTTCAAAATTTCTAAATTGTTAGTGCTTCAAATTTCTAAATCAACAAATTTCTAAATTCTTAATGCTTCAAATTTCTAAATTTCCTATTATCCAAATTTTTAAATATCAAGTCTCATGTACGTGCACAAAAAATTATGTATTTGAATACAATTTTCTAAACCTTTAAATTTCTAAATCCCTAATTACCCTAATTTTAAATTTGAAAATTTCAAATTTCATACGTGATTTATTAAAGCTTTACCATTCCCTCCTTGCTGAATTTTAAAAAGAAATAATTTTCCAATGACATGTCTTTTAATAAACAGATGATCGGCAACGTTGTACAGTTCGTTAAATGCATGGACACTGATTAAATTTCGACTAGGGATTTGTATAGAAAACTAGGGGGAATAGGATTACACGGGGATTAACTCCTGCAACGTAATCTCGTCATCCTGTTCATTTGAATTAACTGTTACGTTCGTGTTGGTGCATTATTACCTCGTATTTCGGATGTGATCAATAAAGCTTCTAGAATTAAACGAAATATTAGCTTTCAAGCTTTCACTTCTATTACTCATGATTTATAAATACACCCAATCTTCCCTCTGTACCTAAATTCACTGTTCTAGTTACAAACAAAGAGTTGCAGAACATAAATACACCTGATCTTCCATGTATCTCTAAATTTATTGCAATATTTCCACACAAATAATGTTACAAATCGTAAATACACCTGATCTTCCATGTATCTCTAAATTTATTGCAATATTTCCAAACAAATGATGTTACAAATCGTAAATACAGCTGATCTTATGTTCCTCTAAATTTATTGCATTATTTCCAAACAAATAATGTTACAAATCATGAATACACCAACTTTGTGTGTCTCTAAATTTATCGTATTATTTCCAAACATATGGTGTCGCAAATTATAAATACACCCGATCTTTTTTGGCTCTAAATATATTGCATTATTCCTAAAGTTTTGCAAATCAAATAAATACACATGATCTTTTGCAGCTCTAAATTTATCTCATTGTTTTCAAACAAACAGTGTTAAAAATCATAAATACACCCGATCTTTTTTGGCTCTAAATATATTGCATTATTCCTAAAGTTTTGCAAATCAAATAAATACACATGATCTTTTGCAGCTCTAAATTTATCTCATTATTTTTAAACAAACAGTGTTAAAAATCATAAATACACCCCATGCTCTACGACTCTAAATATATTGCATTATTCCCAAACAAAGTGTTGCAAATTATAAATGTACTCAACCTTCGGTGTGCTTCTAAATTTATCCCATTATTTCCAAACAAATAATGTTACAAATCATAAATACACCCCATGTTCCACGACTCTAAATATATTGCATTACTTTCCAAACAAAGTGTTGCAAATTATAAATGTACTCAATCTTAGTTGTACCTGTAAATTTATCCCATTATTTCCAAACAAATAATGTTACAAATCATAAATACACTCAATCTCCTGTTACTCTAAATATATCGCATTATTTTCAAACAAATGGCGTTTATAGCCCAAAAAAGATATTTTCTATCTAATCTGGATGGCGTGTAGTTAATAAAATCACGTTAATAATTTACGTTCATTCCGTTTTAGCTGTAACGAAGCAAGGGTGGAATTGTATTCGAGAAAAAAGCTTTTTATCTACCGCAGGAATCGTTGTTCCCCGCCGTTGTTTAGTGTTCCCTGTTGTGCGATAAATTTGTAAAACTCACGGCGAGATATATTGCGCAGGAAACGAGCTCCTGGGGCAATTATTGCTTTAGGATATCGCGGAAAGGAAGAGACGATGAAGATCGGAAGAGATGGGCGTACCGATACAACGCCATTTTCATTGATGGCTTTCTCTAACGTTTTTTCCTTGCTTCCGACTCAATTAAAAACCTTATTTTTATTCCTGCTTTGTTATTTACATTCTCTGTTGTTTATTTGGTTTTTGTTGTTGTTTATTTTATCATGATGTTGAATAAAGATGTGTTTTACGATGTATGTTATAACAGAATATGATATAAATTGGTTTGTGTAAAAATGTGATGCATTAAATCATGTAAATTGATGTATTTTTACGTACAATTACATTTTTATGACGTTCAACAAAATATAATTTATAAAATGAAATAAATTGATAGCAACAACACATGACATTTATAAAACAGTATAAAATGGCATAAAATAGTATAACATGTACGAACAAAAATATAACATTTAAGTTGTTAAATCCATTACTAAAGGTGAAAGTTTAAATATCCAATATTTTCACATTTTTTATTTTTAAATTTTCTAAACTCTGAAATGGTAATAAACGTACCTGCTATTTTTATAGAAATAAACATGCCCATTATTTTTATAACTATCCAACCACAAATCCTTGATAAATAATCTCAATTTGTTAAATCTCTGTAACATTATATCGCAAGAGAAAGCTAAATCTCCTGCGTGACATTTGAAAATTATTAATTGCAAGCAAAGTCAGCTGTATCTCGATGTTTTCATGGGATCCGAGTGGGTGTTTATTAACGCCACTTAATGGCGAACAGAAGTCATATCGAAGGAAGTTTTAATGAAGTTGGTTCAAGTCGAGATTCAAGTGCCTCGTAGTCGATGATAAACAAATTACATTTCAACGTTCGTTTCGGTCTCGTCATCCTGACACGTTCGAAGTTTCCTGGTCCCGCAGGAATACTCTGCTGGTTCCCGTTAATGAAAGTCCAAGCAGCACGTTTTTTTTTTCCTCTCTTCGTTACTATATTTTATAGACTGTAACGGAACTCATTAAACTCCGTTCCACATCGATGACAGTAATTCGTTCGCAGACCAGAAATTACTGACGATCGATAAACACGTAATAAAAATGAGTTATTTTTCAACGATATTAACGCTTTAACGACCGATATTGTGCGCTGCTGATTTCATCTCGTTATTACTTTCTTATTTCTATAATATTTATTTATTGTAGTGTGAAAATTTTCTTGGAATTTTTATTATAGATGCATTATAAAAATTTCTATTTGTGGTGAGGCGTGGTTTGTAATTAGATTATGAATTGTTGCGTTAAGTATTAGGTACTATACTTCTAAAAAATTAGTGTCATTATTATTATATTAAAGTATAATACGAAGAAAAATATTTATTTAACCATTTCCCCCAAATTCCTTGTTTTATTTATTTCCATCGAAAAAGCGAGAATACGTCCAAGATAAACACCCCACTTCTAAACATCCCCAATCTAATAGCGACGCTCTCTTATTTACCTTGCTCACCAATTTTTTTATCAATCGATACCTCACCGAAATCACCCAGATGTTTAGTTAGTTTTCTAACTTTGACGTAAGCAGGATGATTAATATCCGATGTTTGTATGTACATTCTTCCCCTTTTCATCCCGTTCCTGTTTCATCAAGCCATTTTCCTTTAGGGCTCGTTACTTCCCTCGAATCCACCCGACAGTTTTGTAAACAAGCTTCCCGCAACACTCACGCAACAATTTCGCAACTATATCGAGCTAAAATCCACCAGGATGTCTCTTCTCGTTGCAACTACCTCGACGTTCTAACACTGCGATTAATTAACCTCCTTAATCGATATCGTCTCAAGATCGACGACCATGCTGCCGTTTCCGGCCGATATTGCTCTCCTCAGGCTCTTTCGAATACTCTCATATTCGAACACTGATTCAACTCAAGCTTATCAGGAGTATTGGTTAATAACTCTTAATTTTTTAAGAAAAAAATTTGGGAAAAAGTCACTAGCTATACAGGGTGGCTCACCACATTTTGCCATCTAGATTTGCGTCATTATTATTACTCATAGCAAACAAAGTTTCAGATGAAGTTGAATGGTCTTGAGAGGAGTTTTGTATTTGTAGAGATAACAAATATCTCTAAAATTTTATTTTTAAAATTTCATTTCCTACACTGTTTAATTCTTTACATTCCACGCTAGTGAAAACATATTAAATTTTTGTGTTAGTATCACATTACCTTCTTTAGCTGCAACACCTAAGCGACATTAGCCTTCCTATTTCCAAACTCGTATGTGACAATATAAAAGAAAGTTTTCAAACTTTATAATTCAATTTCTAGATGTCTAAATTTTCCTAGCTTCATATTACCTAGATTTTCATTATTGAGATTTATCATTTCTAATATAAATTTTCTTCTGTTACAGATGCGAGTGCGAGTAGAACGCGACAGCCATTTTCCAGGCGAAACCGTTTAAGGGCCGCGAAGGACGATGACTTAAGCTGCACGAGGGACCGCAAGAATCGCGAGGACTCGGAAGAAAGTAACAAAATTACAAATGGCTGTGGGTCAGAATCGATATCGTGACGCAAAGAACCTTGAAAGTTCTCGAGGTCGAGGTGCTTTCCTCTCCGTATCAGCGAGCCAATACAGCGTGTTACCTCGAGATTGATGCGTGTAAAGTTCGCGTACAGCCGAACGCCTTGAAGTCGTTCGAGATCAACGACGCACTGAAAACAATGATAATTGTCCCCGATATCCACGCGAAAGTGTTTCGATCAGATTAAGCCTCGGCTTGCACGCGACACACGTTCACACATAAACACACGTTGACAATGAGCTTCTTCAATTCGTTGCAACAATACGTGACCGACAGTGTCGCGAGTTTGACTCTCAGCCCGAAGAGATTCTCCTTCAGCCGAGAGGACTCTACCTCCACTTCCGGTACAGGAAGAAGTGGATCCACCGGAAGTGTGACTGCTGCAAACAACACTAACTCCACTGCGCAACAGTCTACTCCTCATGGCTATCCTAAAGTGAGTTCTAAGTAAACGGTCATTTTTACCTTCTGGCTATGCTTTTGAAAAGATGGCAGATTGGCTCTCGTGTAGATGATTCAATGAGAGGCAGAGAACTGTGAGAGCTTTGAGAGAGATACAAAGAGAATTATAAAAGGGAAGGAAAGTATTTTTTGCAAGAGTGTTATATATTCCTTGATAGTTAAAGGCAAGTTACAATTAATTTTTCTAATTATGTCCACTTTGTTTGTCGACATCAACAAATTATAATAGCATGTTAATAATTAATTAAACCACTCAGTATGAGATTTTCGGACAAGCTTAAAGCTGCAACGTTGATCAAATCAATTAATCAAAGTTAATTTAATTAAGATTTTCGAACGTTAATTGATGCAATTATTAAATTAAGATTTTCGAACGTTAATTGATGGAATAAGCTGTTGCTATAAACTGCGTTGTTGCAGGTTTTGTCAAGTGAATTCTGAAGTCGTTTAACTCGGATTTCTGAGAATATGTAGCCTGAATTGAAAAATGAGGCCGTCAAAACTTTTAATAAGCACTATACACAATAATACCATGCAGATGTACTGAAAAAGTTTTTCCTTCTCTGTGTGTTATTTAAACGCGCGTGACACTTGTTACCTATAGGTGTTCCAATTAAATTATCACTCATTGGTGTCCATAGATATTAGCTCTCTGTGTCCTTCATGTAACATGTATGCCAGTTCTAGTTGGAAATTTCGAACTTTGCTCTCATGTTTCTCATTATGCCGATTGTAACTTACGTGTCTTATTACTGTTATGTTACTAACTATAGCCACGTGCATTAGCGTTCATTAGTGTTAGTACACGTTTGCGTTATCGGGAAATATTAAGTAATACTTTTTAACCTTGGTAATTGTATATAGTTTACGTGGTTTTGTAGGGTGATGATAAATGAAAAATTGTAATGTTTGTTAGTTTGTATAGTATTAAGATAAGGGTACTTTCTTTGATTACTATTAAGACAAATTTGGTTGAGTAGGGAGAAATAGTAAAGATTGACATTTGATGTAGACTATATATGGTCACATATGAATAGTAAACTCAGTTCCATACTATCTTTAACACATCCCATAATCAAGTACTCATTCTCTTCCTTCTGAAGTCAAAAGCTCAGAAAGATCACCTTTCAGTCTTGTCAAAAATTGAAAACTCCATGTCCATAAATTATAACAAAATTATATCCCACACATGTCATCAATAATTTCAAAAATAGTAAAAATCACATACACATGATAAACCCAATTCCATGTTATCTTTAACACACCTCATAATTCCTACCGAAAACCAAATTCTATGAAAAAATCCCCCTAACAAACATCCCCGTAAATAAAATAAAAAATTACAATTCATGCGCATAACCTGAAAAATATGAAAAGTCAACCCTCCATTACATTCCCGTCCACAAAGTCCGCAGTTAAAGAAAGAACAGTTTCGAAAGGATGATTCCCCAAAGCCACTCGATCCCACGTACACATCGAAACGTTGTATATCTTCCAGCATCCGTAGATCCCCGTTCACACATAAAACAAGAAAATACAGAAGAACGAAAGCCCTCGCGACACGTTTAACGCACGAACGACCCTGGCTGTTGTTTGCTTCCGTCGCTTCAGCAGCGACGTCCGAAAGACTCGTTGTCTCGTCTCGAGGATTCACCTTAATCCTTTTCCGACGGGAACTCGACGGAGATAATTATCGTCCTCGTGTATTGTTTAGGACTCTAAATATCCTTTGGAATATTGCAACTTCGTCCTAGTTGAAGGAAATGATGATCTCGGATTAAAAAGTTCACTGCTGACTTTGATCAGTTCTTTGTTGATTTGCTGTTTTCAGGATTTATATAATTCGTTGTCTGTCAAATTCTAAACACCAAGTTCAGAGAAACTCAGAGTTGATCTCCCTGAGAGTCCTTGATCTCCCTGAGATGTTCAATGAAGATACCTCAAGCACAGTTTTCTAATTTTCTTAAACATCTATTTCTGAAACACTAAATTCTAAGATGACCCTGGCTGAAACAAAAAAACAGACAATAACTGATTTCTAAAATGAACTTTGGACCAATGATCATAGCAGTCGAGGCCTATATAAAATCAATCAATCAATCGATCAATCTAAAATGAACTTCATATTAGAATTCTCATATCTCTCATATACCCTACCGTCCATAAGTATCCGGACACAAGCGAAATATGCATTCGCGTTGCATGAAAGTTATTCAAGTATCTGCAACAGTAACTAAAATCGATTTTTTTTCTGCGAAGGTCAGAATACTGGAACGTTTTTCGATTGATAATTCTCGTTTGGAACT